TAATAAAATTAATAAAAATAATTATAAAGAATGAAAATAAAGTCAACTTATAAATTAACCCATAACCTATTAGAGTAGAATTAAGATTAAATTTATTTAACTCATAACTAATTTATAATTTAACCCGTATAACCCATCACTGCAAGTGATCCAATTTAAACCTGAATAAACCCGCCCGTCTACAAAAGAACTCTGAAACACGGAAATAGATGCACGCTTTCACTGAACTTTTTCCATGAAGTTGATCTCCCCCTAACGATTCACCCAGATTAATCCCTTCGACTTCAAATGGGAAAGGAGCAGACCGTGGAAATAAGAGAAAAGTTTCATAGGGAAACCTCGAGTAGGAAACATTAGGGAAAGTATAAACAAATTAATTAATATTTATCATCTTTACAAATTTTAATATTAAAAATAATTAATAATTAATAATAATTATTTAATAAATTAAAATTAATTAATTAATATTTTTAAATATTATATATAACTATTTAACAAAAAAAAATTATAAATGACTGAAAACATATTTCAATTATTGGCCATAACGACGTCCTGTAATTTTCCAATTCAATTGTTCTTTAATAATTAATAATCTATTGATCAACACCCTTGACAAGTTAGCTCCTACGCGTTTGATTTTCTGCTATTTTAAAAAATAAAATTCTATAGAACTAGAAAAGGCCCAAGTCCTACGAAGCCCATCAAATAGTTACGGAGGTATACAACTTGAAGCTCGTTGGGTTCTTAATGGGCTTCAGTTAGAAGTTCGAACTACGATATGTAGAGGCCATTTAGCCCCAAGAAATTGTGTAAATGGATCGGGTAAAGAATATGGACCTGAATTGTACCAGTCTACCAGCCCCGTCAAGTAGTGTAAACCTCACCGCTGACGCCAAGCCTTGTCTTCTTCCTCTTTCAACATTTCTCCGTCTGTGTTTATAAAGCAAAAATCTCCGTTTTTCTCTCGTTTTGTGCAGCTTTTGAGAACTTGTCCTAGAAAGAATGCCGGGCTTAACCTGCAATGCTTGTAACAGGGAATTCAACGACGATGCCGAGCAAAAGCTGCATTACAAGTCCGATTGGCGCCGCTACAATCTCAAGCGAAAGGTGCTTCCTTTAATTTCCTTCCTTTTTGGATTCTTCAATACAGTGTATGACTGTATGGAATATAGATTCCCTCTTCTGGGTTGATGTTGAATCTTTGAATTAGTCATGAAGAATCTTAGTTTTCACTTTGTTTTCTATGTGGGTAATGGATTCTTCATATATGTATGTTTGGTTGATTTTTCTGGGTACAAACATAAGTGAATTGCCTTGTGTTTTTTATCAGCTTGAATAATTTGGGACGGTCTTATTTATTTGGGAGAAAATAGGTAGGTGGAGTTACTGGAGTCACTGAAGCTCTGTTTCTTGCTAGGCAATCTGCACTTACTCGAGAAAAATAAGCAGAATGAAACTTCTATGCTTGATAGTTGTGGAAAGGAGTATTGGAGTTTCCAGGCTTATGATCAGCATCTCAAATCACGGAGCCATCATATCATGAGGGGTTCTCAAGGAACTAATCAGTCTAAAGAGGAGAAGGTAATTATTAAGCCCCTTCCTGGTCGTGTTGTAAATAAGCCTACAGCAAGCAGGGAGGCAAACGGTGACGAAAGTGAAGATGAGTGGGAGGAGGTTGATCCTGAAGAAGAATTGGTTGAGGTGGCTTCCAAGTCCTTGACTGCGTTGAATGTAGATGAGTCTGCCTCTAGCAATAATATGAATACTAATGGTGAGAGGAAGACAGTGAAGATGAGGAGGAGGAATTGGATCCATCATGTTGTTTTATGTGTGATCTAGAGCATGATGGCATAGAAAACTGCATGATTCACATGCATAAGCAACATGGATTAATTCTTTATTCCCGATGTGGAGTATTTCAAAGGTCCAGAAGGCTTGGTAACTCATTTGGGCCTTAAGGTACGAATTATATGTTGTGGATGTTTATTTGATGAAGAGTAATGATACGGGGACGATTTTGGGGGATGACAAGTGAAGCAGTCTCAACTGCAATTACTAATTTACCCTTGCTTCACTTGTCGTCCCCCAAAATTGTCCCGCAAATTCGTCCGCGTATCATTATTCTTTGATGAATCCTTTTTATACTTTTCAATGGCATTTGTTGTTTCATTTTCTGATGTGTGCTTTCTTTTTCTTAGGTCAAGAGGGATTTCATGTTTCTGTATTGCAATGATATTTGTCATTCCTTCAGCAGTTCGGAAGCTGTTAGGAAACACATGGCAGCAAAGGGGCATTATAAAGTTTTAAATAAGGAAAGAAGGTTCAATATCAAATACTCTTCTTTAATTTAAGGGTAATTATTTTATATGGAGAAAAAAGGCTTGATATTATCAATATCAAGACCCTCTCTCAACCTAGAAAGAATTGTTTTACAATTTGATACAATTCAAATTACAAAATAATCTTTTGGTATAATTCTATCATGATAATTTTAAATTATTTATTATTTTTTAATATCATTTCTGAGTTGTTAGTATCTAGAGTAGAATCTATTTATACATAAATTTTAAATATCATGTTTATATAAAATCTTAATTATTCATCTTTCTATTTTTAATGATTGAGATTTATTATGACTTTTTAAATGAAAAAAATAATTATATTTAACAAATATGATAAAAAATAAATAAATTTCAATTATTAAAAATAGAAAGATGAATAATTAAAATTTTATATAAATATAATATGAAAAATTTACATGTTAATGAATCTCTACTCTAATATCTATTATTTTTAATTTACTTCATATAATTTATTTGATGTCAATTTATATTATAAAGTTATATTATTAAACAGTGTGATTATAAATTATATGCATTTTAAGGGGTTAATGCCATGGGTCACTAAACTTTACTAGCTGAATTTGAATTGAACTTTCACAATGGGATAGGTATATGCCTTCTCATGTGTCATAAGACTAGTCAACTATTCTACTTCAACTCAACTTAATGATATAGTGGGACAATTTTGACATGCCAAACACAACTCATTGCAGGGCCAGAAATGGATTTGCACAAAACTTGCATGCGGCACGACAAAAACATGAAAAGGAAAATGATTATATATCTGATTTTTCGGTATACATTGCTTTTATTAGTGTAATCTGGTTTTATTTATTTATTTATAATTAAGATGTTTTAAAATTAATTTTTTTTTTGTATTTAAAATTAATTTTTTAGATATTTTTTTCCTTTGATTTAGGATTATATAATGAGGTAAGTTTCTCTTATTTTTTTTATTTTACTTTACCTGTATGTTATATAATTTAATTTTATAGTCTCTTATTTCCATAAAAAAATTATTATTAAATTATTTAGGTTATTGAATTTTTTTTAGATAATTTTAAAAATACACTCTATATCAATCTAATATATTAAAAAAATTAAAATTTTCAAATACTAATCTCAAAACCTAAATGAAAGTAATATTTAAGAGAATACTTATTTATCAATAAATATAACAATGGGTGGTTTGTCTTGCGGCATGCTTAAGGACCTTAACCTTTGATGGAG